CGCCCTCCCAGCAACCTCATATCTGTTCAGTTGCTGTATGAACTTCAAGGAATTGTAATTGTTTTGTCTTCTTCCCTCCCTCCCCACCAGTTTATTTGTGTATTTATTTATTTATTTTTAGCTCCCACAAATAAATGAGTGAACAGATATGAGGTTGTTGGGAGGGAGGGGGGAGAGGGAGGAGGGAAGGAGGTTTTGGTAATGGGCCACAATAATCAATAACATTGTATATTGACAAAATAAAATAAAATTTTTTTAAAAAAGGAAGAAAAGAAAAAATAAAAAAGGAACTCATTTGACTCTCAGCAGCCTGTTACTTAAAATTTAAACACTTGTTGTATTTGTAAAACAATATATGCTCATTGTGAACACCCCAATCAATCCAAACAAGAAAAATATGGAGTAAAAAGTGACAGGCCCCCAATTCCACTTCCTCCCTGGATGAACCTGCTTTCCTTGTATATCCTCCCAAACATTAAGAATAAGCCAACCGTTAAGAAAGAATTTGACTAATTTGACTGTAATAAAACCTAGTCAACTTGCAGATTATAACTAGTGTTGACCTTTCTTTAATGATTCAAAATATCCCGTGTACACAGTGAAGAAATGTGGGGATTTCCGTTTGCTTAGATCCCAATAAACAGTAGCTTATGGGAAAGTTGTGAATAATCCCTTTCTCTGCCCCTTTCTCCTCCCCCAGAAGGTTTGGGTTTGCTGAGACCACAGCTGATGGATGGTATGCCTGGTTGGACATGATAACCCATCCTACCCAGAACAGAGATGTCTAAGGTGCCTTATCCTTATGAACACAAGACTTATGAAACTTAACACAAGACTTATGAACACTATAAAAATATTGGTTTGTAATAAAAAAGATTTGGGAGCTTACCTTATGTTCTTTGACATTAATATAGCGCTGCATTTACTCTCTTAAATTTGTACAACACAGTACTTTATATTATATACAATGTTACATATATTTATACATAAATTTTATATTTTCTTTTTTCTAAGCAAGATAACCTTCCATTTGCAAGTTCAGCTGAAAGCAACCAGTCCTCTTTATTTTTTGAAAAAAAAATTTTTCTTAAGGCAAGTAAGGCACTCCATGGCCTGGAGAGGAAAGGAAGTAACTAGAAGGACTTTATTTTTCTTGAGTTCAATAAGGCTATCTATCCAAATTCTTCTTGATGAGTAGAGCTCTGGGGTGGGATTGGATCTATTTGCATAAAGAACCTAGGATTTTTCTGGGAAGAAAGGGATTGAGATCACCCCAACGCCAACATTTCTCCCAAAGATTCCTAGTTATAAAAATCCATTGGTAGACCTTTATAAAAGAAACAGGACCAGGAAGGTAAAATGTTAAAGGGTGTTCATGATAGCAAGTTTGTTAAGACTGGGCTCCCCACTACTTAAATGTGGCAGTACTTGCTTTGGAACTAAAAAAGAAAGTGTTTCCATGTTTTAGTAATGGTTCTGGACGGTACCTCTGTAGCTTTTGCTGTTTATTCTTTTGTTTCAAATTCCACAAAGGCAAATCTCTTTGGATCTCCAGTAGACTTATAATGTATTATATAAAGAACATTACTGCATTTCCCAAATACTCTTTCAATCCAGTTGTGATTAGCAGTTTTGGAAGTAATTCACATGATAAATTAGAAGCAGTATTAAATATGTAAGAATGTAATAACTATAGACTTAGTTTTATTCACAGCTCCTGTACCTTATTTAGAAAGTCAATAAATTTTAACTTAAAAAAAACCC